ATTACTATAAATTCTAGTTGGCTCCCTAGAACAAAAAATACCTAGGTTATAAAAATGAAAATTGTTTTATAACTTTAACAAAAGGTAGTAAGTCTATTTCTCAACAAAGTACAAGCTGAGAGTTTAAAGGATACAATAACTTTCACCCATGACAAAACCTTTTGGTAACAACAGTTTTATGGAAAAAGCCTTTACAATGAGAGGCATATAAGTAACACAAAAAAGTTTCTTCCTATGTTACATAACAACTTTGCAAAATAAAACTAAAAGAATCATTTCAAATGACACTATTATATCTGCATACATCCCCCAAATCACTAAAGTACAAATATGTTACATGGTCACAGATATTCTTTTACACCTGAGGGCATATCCTAACTTGTATATACATTAAAGATGTACATATAAATATGAGAGCATAAATTAAATGTTTCCAAGTTTAATACCACAAGTCTCAAAGAGAAAAAAAGGTTTCTCACATGTCATAAATACTGCAAAGAGGAGTCAGTTTTCAAGGACACAGAAATGCACCCTAGCAATTTTTCTACTGCGTCGATGCCCACGTGGGTGCAAGGCGGCTGCACGCCAGGCGGAAAGGAGACCCTCAGGGGCCCGGGCTCACAGCCGTCACCCGGTGGCACCGGACACTGGATTGCGCGTTTGGACCTTTTTATTTACATGCACCAATAAATTCACTTTCCGTCTGTACACTAGGCTAATCATCCCTTAAATTCACTTCAGCAAAAGCTTATATTCAGTCACCTTATAACATTACTTTAGAAAAAAACGGAAAATTCTAATGTTTTTACTTGCAGATAACTTTCTTCCATACTCTGACATATTATAAAAGTCTGTTCATTTCACAGCAGAAGATACAACCAAACTGGACTTTGCAAGCGTCATTTCTGAAGCTCTGTTTTCAATATATATGAAAATTTGAATCTTACTCCCCAGCGCTTGCTAGTGATGAAGACACATCATATAGGCATTTAAAGAACTAGACCAATATTACAAACAAAGGAGATGTCTGTAAACTCAACATCAAAATACAACAATGATGTAAACAATTTATCTGCTGGGGAATGATCACATAAATACATTTCTTAATATTATATGTTAATGCCAAGAAAATGAGTGAACTTTGAACTTCTGCCAAAAGTCATTTGAGAACAAAAAGGTTTTTTGGCTTTAAAGCTCTGATGGGAATCACATTAGAAAGAAAGAGATAAATGACATCTTTAAACCAATTAACAATGGTCCCAGATATACCAAAAGAGACCCTTTCCTCAAATTCTTTCAAGGCAACAGAAAAGCCTAGCAGGCACTAGTCCAAGCCTCCTGTAACTCCTCTATCTCACTATGCCACAACTAAAAGAAGCAGCTGGCGTAATGAAACAGCATGTAAACCCAACTATCTGCCGCTTCTATTCCTACACCAAGAAGCTAAATGCAGCGAAGTAAAAACCCACAACAGTGGTGCCCTGCTTTGCTTTAAACGCAAGACTAAACCTCCGCTGGGCCCTCAGTGCCGCCAGGCACTGCTACCGTCCTCTCCCGCCCATTCGTTCCCTCATCTGATGGCAACAGCACATTTGTCCTCTCATCTCCAACACCCGTAGCACTGGGCGTATCATGACTCTCAGCTGCTGAGAAAAAATAAGTTATCAGAAGAGAACTCCCAAGTGCGCCCCTCTACCAACCTGTGTGGATCTGTCTGCACATCCTCTGCCTCCCTTCCTGTTATTATGAATAAACGATCCAAGTCCTACCGAAGCTCATACAACCCAACACCAATCTCTCCCATTTGCCCAAATAAATTATCCCAGCACTCTCTCTCTCATAAACCAGCAGCTTCATCTCTACTGTACAATCCCCATCATGATAGAAACATGCGGTCATTTCTAAACTAAAAAAACAGAAACAAAAAAAAAATCTTGACTCCCTCGTCCCCCTTTAAATATAGCCCCATTTCTCTACTCCCTTTCATCACAAAGGACCTCAAAACAGATGTCTCTACTCTTGTCTCCAGCTCCCCTCTTCCTGCCTTTCCTTGCCCATACTCCCGACAAGCACTTGCCCCTGTGCTCTACCAGAACCGCTCTGGCCAAGGGCACCAGCAACTTCCACACAGCTTAATTCAAGGCTCAATTCTCAGAACTCACCTTACACAACTTACATCAGCAGAGTCTGACATAGCTGATCCCTCGGCACCCTTCAAACGCTTTCACCACCTGGCTTCCAGGACAACATGCTTTCTTGTTTGTCTTTCTATTTCACTAATTCTGTTTTCTATCTTGCCTTCGCTAGTTACTCTTCATTGATGGAGGGCCCCAGATCTCTCCTTGAACCTCTTTGAGTTTCTATCTATGCTCTCTCCCCCAGTGATCTCATCTGGTCTTGGCCGGAAATACCATTTATTCACCAATGGCTCCCTAATTTATATCTCCAGTTGAGAGCTGAACTTCAGCTCTATCTATTGCTTTCTGACATATCCATTTGGACATGAAACAGGCATCTCCACACAATGGAAACACAAACTCTTGATCTTTACCCACATGGATGACTTCACAAGTGCTTCCCAGTATCCAACTCCCTTCTTCAGGACATCAACGACAACACATGGTAAAGCCACATGACTTGTTCTGGCCAATTTAATGTGAACAGAAGTGCCAGGTATCACTTCCAGCCCGGACAGTGAAAAGCCACTTGTGAGTCTCCAATCTCTCTCCTGCTATGGCAACTGCCCACGCTCTGTGATCCGGCCAATCGGTGTACCTTCAAGACCTGGGGCCTCCGTTAACAAGGCTTCCTTAGTGACAATGAAGACCTTCCAGCTGACCCACATGGGACATGTACCATGCGCAAGAAATCAACTTTATACTTTTAGCCATCGAGACTTTGGCATTCTTAGTTATCACCCAGACTGATACCCCCAAACCTACTCTCACATAGTACTCATCTTCATAGGAGCAACTACATCCTTTCAGCTGCTCAGACAAAAACCTTGAAGTCATTCTTAATGCCTCTCTTTCTCTCGCACCCCACATCCAATTCATCAGCATCCCAAGAGATCCTTCCACATTTCGGTGACTCCACTACCATCTTGTTCTTCAAAAAGACACTGGTAAGAAATTGAAAAAACAAGCCACACACTGGGAGAAACTACTTTAGAAAACATGTATCTGATGAAAAGGACTTATATCTAGACTATATAAAATGCTCACATCTCATCAATAGGAAAACAAAATACTCAATTTATTAAAAAAAAAAAGAAGCAAAAGATTTAATAGATATTTTATCAAAAAAAGACATGGACAGCAAATATGCACATGGGAGGACCATAATGCTCACCATTACAAGTCACTGGGACATGCAAATTAAATTAAAGCCATAACGAGATACCACTACACTCATATTAGAATGGCTACAATGAAAAAGAGCGACAGTAGCAAGGGCTGATGAGACGTGGAGCGCTGGAACTCTGCTACGCCATTGCTTGAAAGGCAAAAGGGCACAACCACTGCAGACAATACTTGGCAATTTCTTAAAATGTTTAACGTGTCCTTGTGGTAACAAGGAAAGTGTCTGTATACTAACAGAAATGGTTTGCTTCAGAAGCTATTTATAGATGATTTATAACTGTTTGTGATTCTTCCCTTGCTTGAAAATGCTAAAACATACGCCTACTAGGTGACCCAGCCATCTCACTGCCAAGTGTTCCTACGGGAGTTGAAAGTATGTGTCCACTTAAAGATCTGTAACAAATGTTCATAGTCCCAAAGTGGAAACTGCCCAAATGTCCATGGACAAGTGAGTGGGTAAACAGATTGTGGCATATCCACACAAAATAATACAACTCAGCAATAAAAAGGAATGAATTATTGATACACCCGATATAGATGAATCTTGAAATAAGTATGTTGAGTAAAAAGACAGAAAAAGAAGAGTACACATTGTATGATTTCACTACATAAAAGCCTAGAAAGCGCAAACGGATCTACGGTGATGGAACAGATCAGTGGTTGCCGGGAGCACGGCGGTGCTAAGGACAGGCAGGGGGGATTACCGGGGGTTCAAGGAAACCTCCGAGGCTGCCAGACATAGTCACTATGTTCCTCACAGTGCTGGTCTCACAGATATGTACATCTGTCAAAACATTAAACTGTTTCAAGGTGTGCAGTCTATTATGTGTCAATAATACTTCAATAAACCTGCTGTTAAAAAGAAAGGAGCAGGTGATCAAGAAATATTTTGGGAATGAATAAAGTGGATGAAAATTTTAAAAAAGATGCTGAGAAACCAAAATCCTAAGAATGAATTGAAGGGGCAACGCTGATATCTTCCCTGATTCACTGGTACCCTTTTCTGAATGATGGAATATATGTGGAGAAGGAGGAGGCTCCCACAAAGCGAAGCCCCTCTGTATAAAGCTGTACGCCTTTCTCTCCAGGAGAAGCACCTGTCAGTAGCTCCTGAAATGGACAATTGCTCTCCCACTATATAAGTACTCTCCTTACGCCACAGTCCCCTAGCAGCTGGATAATTTCTTTGAACTTAATCTTAAAAATCTGGCCTTATTTCATCTTTGCATATCACCTTCACTAACCATTAAACTTATACTGGCTTTTTTTCCACGAATTTAATTTGTTACAATTTTTTTTAAGAACTAAGGAATGGCTGGAGTGGGTGTCCTCAGTTTGCGAGTCTTTGAGGAGGAGCCCCTCTCCTTGGATTCCTGGTCCTGTCTCCCAGTTTTCCACTAAGATAGAAAAATCACCATCCCTTCTTTACTCACCTCCCTTGCTCTTCTCTTTGAAATCCCAAATTCTACTCATCATCATCAATTTTAGCATCATCCTAATATAGAAATACACTCACTTCTGTCATGAGCTGCTAAGGTTTTGTGTCTTCTCTGACATGGTCCCTTCGTCATAAAACAGAATAGATAAAGAAAAGCACAGCACCCACTTCTATTTCAATGAAGTTAGCCCATGACTCACCTCATTTCCACCAACTGCCTTGGTTAAAATCACTGCAGAAGACACAGGGGGAGGCATGCAACCTACAGTCTGCAAACTGAAAAATAGAAGATGCAATTATAAATAGTATTTTTTTAAATCATAAACAGTTTTCACTTCATTCATTCTGAAATAGCAGAGCTGAGTAAATGAAAATAGGAGAGTGATGAGCCATGCTCACTGCCCTGTTGAGTTCTGACAATTCCATGAGGCCACATGGCTTGGGAGATGCTGCAGATGCCTGGGGAGGCTCTCACAACATTCACAGGCTGGGAGGTTTTATTTTTTAAATTATTTAAGTTCATTATGTAGTTCAGGAAAAAAAGATTGTCAAGTTTTAGTAAGTACAGTCAATGAAAGATAAGCAAAATGGTTAATTATTTGGTAAGTATATATAATTTTTGACCTGAGGTTATTTTCAAGTGTTTTTTTCTGTACATTTTTTATAGAAAGGCTTTTGGCAAAAATAAACCTTTAACACCACTTCCAAAGTTCAAAATTATGTAACAAAACAAAAGCTACATTTGCCGATTCCTTTCTATAAAACAGCAAGTCTCACACTTTCACCTCACAAAAGACACGTTCACATTGTTGTGATATCATTATAGAAATAGGCATGACACAATAATGTACTTCCTGGATTCAACTGACATACATTCTAGTGTCTATTCTAAATTTCGATTTTAATACCCAGATGATGACAAGAAGTCTATGATCTTAGTTTAGGAAAGAATATACATTGCATAATAAGTACATGAAACTCTGCATAGTAAAGCAAAGTGCTAAAGATAAAAATCATTCCTCAGCCATTCAGCAACTAGCTGGCCTAACGCAGAAAGTTCAGACAGAAAATAACGGACACAGAGTATCTGACTAAGATATTGAATTTAAGACTACAAATGATTTTTATTCACTTTTGTAATAAGGTGTTGTTTAAACTTCATGCAATGAATTTACATTAACTCTGAAATTTAAAAAAAATAAAAATAAGTTTTAATTCATTTTGTAAGAAAACACCTTTAATGGAATTTCCAGCTCAATTCAATTCAATATGGTCTCCTTTTAAGGGCTATCTTTCCAAGTGATGCTAATGTAGTCTGTTCCGTTAAGAATTCCTAGTCTCTGAGCCTTCCTTACGATCATCACCATCCTCATCACTAACACTTATAAGCATTAACCATTTATTGTAGATACTGTTCTAGACACTTTACTCATTTATTTCTCACAAGTATTTAAGATAAGTGCCATTATTATTATCATTTTACTGGAAATCGAAATTAAAAAGAAAGTTAAATAACTTGCCTAACCTCACGAAGCTGCCTCCTCACAAGTATTTAAGATAAATGCCATTATTATTATCATTTTACCAGAAATTGAAATTAAAAAGAAAGTTAAATAACTTGCCTAACTTCACGAAGCTTCCTGGCTAGGGTTAAACTTTTATTCTGGAATCCAGGGTCAATGGCCTGCCTTACCTCCAGCCTCTCTGCCTTCTACCTTCCCGACCACCAATACTAGGAATATTTTCAATTTTCAATTTTTCTAGTGTTTTTGCTCTTTCTCTCTGTTCTGGCCCCTTCCCTTCTATATATAAAGAAGCAGAGTTCTCCCTACCTTAAAAAGAAAATCCCTAAACTATTTATTGAATATCTATGCCTTCTATAGCTATGATACTACACAAGGGTATAAAAAAAAACACATAGGTATTGTACCATTCCTACCTTCAACACATAAATTCAGAAGATTCAACACATAAATGCAGATAATCAACGTCAAATTAGTACTGTTACCTCCTCAAGGTGAAATCCTACTTTTTTCACTGTGGCTCACTATTAACCTTCTTTAAAGTGTGCTCCACCTCCATGACCCAAAAGCCCATTCTCTCTTTACTCCCCTGAAATCGGACTTATGCTCCTTCTATTAGTAAAAGTAGAGCCTTAAAAATAACCAGTCATTGCCTATCCACCAAATCCAGTACAACTTTTCCCATGTTCATTCTCCTTACTTTCTTGTTTCTCAATGCATACTATTCTATTGGTTACCATAGTATCTCATCAACCTAATTTATCTCCTATCTTTTAAACCAGCCCATTTTAGTTTTTGCTGTCTTTCTTTCCTTCTTCACAATCTTATGTTCATACCTGAATCTGTAGGAATACTTTCAAATTTACATTTCGACTCCTAACTTTCATTCCCTAATTTGTACCAGTAAACTAAACATATCTAATGTTAAATTTATGTATTTTCTTTTTTGTTTTTTAATTGATTTTAGAGCGAGAGAGAGGAAGGGAGGGAGGAAGAGAGAGAGAGAGAAACATCAATTTGTTGTCCCACTTATTTATCCATTCATTGGTTGATCCGTGTATGTACCTGACTGGGGATTGAACTCACAACCTTGGAGTATTGGGATGATGTTTAACCAACTGAGCTACCCAACCAGGGCCAGATTTACGTATTTTCTTAAAAAATTTATTTTCTTCTTAATTGACCTATTTCTGTTAATGGCATAGTGTTTTCCTAATGGTCCAGTTTGAAACTGGAGTTATGTGTGATTCCACCTACTCCTCATCGATCAATCATTCACCACAACCAACTTCCCACTCCTTTCCATGACCATTGTCATCATCCCCCTTCAGATGATTTCCCCCCAAGTCTGGACATGTCCAACCGCCTCCCGAATGCTCTTTCTACCTCCAGTCTTTCCCTTTAATACAGTAAAGTAAGGACTATGTGCTCAGAATATATTTATGTTAATGACTTAAACAGGATCCTGACAAAGGAGTCTGCAAGTCCTTAAAGTTCACATACTGAATATATACTCTCAAATTGGGGAGGTGAGGGAGAAAAAGTGAGCTAAGAAGCACATTCCCTAATTAAGTTAGGCTGAATTCGAACTCCTTTAAGCTTACGGTCCTGTCGCGGGACCTGCATGCTTGTTTTGTTCAGCACAGTGAGACTGCAAGCCCTGCCCCACGCCACCTGTACACCCAGCACAATGCTATCAGGTCAATCCTCCTTCATGACCACTTTTTGGCATGTTATCCTCTTGTTTAGCACATTGAAGAACTCGCCATCATCTACAGATTCAGCAGTTCTGGTCTCCTGCAAGTTGGCCTTAATGAAACTTCCTCTTTTCTCCCACTAATGTCTCATATTTGAATTCTCTGCTTTAGGCATGCACGCCCGTTGCTGACCCTCTTTCTCTTTATTTGATTACACCACTCATCTGACACATTGTTTGCTGCCCCATTTTCATTGGTTACTATTTTATTTATATATATATATACACATATATATATGTATATATACATATGTGTGTGTGTATATATATATATGTATATATATATATCCTACATATCTAACTAAATTGGAAGTTCCCTGAATACAGGCAAAATGAGTTAATATCTTCCTAATACCTAAGTGCTCCGTACATGGCAGATACTCAGCAACTGTTGGTTCTTACTACGCATTCTACAGAGGTGAGCAAAAATATGTTTACAGTTGTGTGTACATGAAACACAGAGTTTATTATTGCATTATTATTTATTAATTATTGTATTGTTTCTTTTCGTATGACAACTGTAAACCTACATTTGCCCACCCTGTACATTTTGCTCTAAAATGATGTCATCACATTTGTGGCATTTTATGCTTTTCAGTAAAATTTTATGTTCACCCTCTCAAACTCAATCTGGCCAAAACAGCACTCCTGAATTTTCCCTCTTGTCCTGACTTATTTCTCTCTAGCTAAGTAAAGGATGTCACCAGTTACCCAGTGGCTCATACCCAAAATCCAGAAGTCATCCTTGATTCCTCCCTGCCCTCCTCTCTCCATATTCTATCCATCTATGGATTCTGAGAATGCTGATTTTAAAATCCATCCTTTACACACCCATTTCACCCTACCACGTTTCTACACCACACTGGCCTCTGAGCTGGCCTCCAGGCTTTCTCTCAGGCCCTTCTACTATCTATTATCTACTCTGATAATCACCGAGGCCAAGAGAATCATTTGCGAATATAAATCACACAGCACCACCATCTCATTTAACTCTCTGCAGCACTCAGAATAAAATCTAAACTGCTCACCAAGGCTCACAATGCCCTGAGTGACTGGATCCTGCCTACCTTTCCAGCTCCGAGTGGTACTATTCTGTTTTTTTCTTCCCTATACATTTTAAAAGCACATTATACCCAGCCATAATCTGTATATGTTTGGTAAGATGCATTCCAAAAGTTAAAGTACCCAACTGACAGCCTACGTGCACCCATACATGCAGATCATACATTCTCTACCGGAGGGGTCCAACCTGCGGCCCAGGGGACACACGCAGCCCAGGACAGCTGTGAAGGCGGCCCAACCCAAAACTGTCAGCTTATTGAAAACATTCTACGATTTTTTTAATCTGATAAGATTATAAGATTTTTTTGTGATTATGTGTTGCAATGTATTTAATGTGTGCGCCCAAGACAACTCTTCTTCCAGTGCAGCGCAGAGACGCCAAAAGGCTGGACAGCCTTGCCTAGTCCCTTCCATTTTTCTCCCAACACAACTCTTTTAAATTCCCATGAAGTGTCCCTCTAGCAACTTACAGTTAGGCATATAGGTGTTATTTTAAGATTCTGTTGTAAAATTCTCTGATGGACCTCTTTGATGAAACACTGTCCTTTTAAAGGATATTAATAATGTTAAGTGTTTTTATTTTTTTATAAGCTACCACAGATAAGCCCTTTCAGGTATAGGTGCTACAGAAACAATAATGCCACTAAAGATGTCCCATTAAAAGTGGACCCTTCAAAATATTTCAACATACCCTTTTAAAAGCCATTCGTTGATTGGTGTGATTGATAAAAGCTGAAGAAAAAGCCATATTGTTGCTGGGAAGAATGCAAGTGTAAAGATCTGAATGAAAAGATGCAGTCTTATATGTACCAAAGCACCGGTCAGCTCCTGCAAAAACAGACACAAAATTTAAAAAGTCAGTAAACTATTTCTGAAGAGAAACTGCTACTAAAATAACATCACATAAATTAGTTTTTTTAATTGAGATATAATTCACATCTGACATTATATTAGTTTCATGTGTATAACACGATGATTCACTATTTGCATATATTGCAAAATGATCACCACAATAAGTCGAGTTACATCCATCAATCTTGAGTTATTTCACAGCTAAAATTTTTATCTATAAAGATATGCATAAGAGCCAAACTTTAAGAAAAAGTTATTGATGATGGTTATGAAGTTATTCATGAAGATCGTGACTTTTACATAAAACTCCTGAAATATTCTAATTGCTTTAAAATATATAATATACCACAACAATTCATATTTGTGCAATTCTGGACCAGGATGAAGCTATCTACCTTCGCACTAGTATATCTGAGAACTGTTACCACTATAAATAAACATGTATGTTTAACGACCTAAAAAAGTAAATCTTGTTGAAAAATTTTAGCAGGACCTATCCCATTTTAATTATATAGAATAATTAACCGCTATTAATTACACCAGACTTAGAAAGGACGCAGTTTGGCAAGAAGTTACTAAATCTACACAGAAATCAAAATTTTTAAAAATGTTGTCCTCAATGTCCTAGAATTCAAAATAACTTTTTCCACAAAATCTACTCACTAGAGTTCTTTATGAACATTTAACTGAGCAGTGGTTACACGCCATTCTCTGAGCTTGCCCCTTTCTGTATGTCCTCTCATTAAATCCTCACTACAGCCCCATTAGGTGGATACTATTACTCCCAGTCCACTGGGGGGGAAATGGAGGCTGAGCGTCAAACCCAATCAGCCCGTGCCGGCTTCTCCCACGGTGTCAGGCTGATGCCGCGGAGGGAGAAAAAATCCCAGAACGCATGACAAACCAGGCACTTGTTTTGAGTCTCACAGCTAAGAAAAGGGTACTCAGTTAAATTTGGAGGTTTGAATATATACTAATTAACAAGCTTTTGCATTTGAATTTCTTTGAGTTATGTGGTTATTCAGTGGAAGTAAAACAAATTCAAAAAGTAGCACAAAACTAGCATAAAACATTCCAACAGTCATTTAGAGCACATTCAAAAATGCCGGTCGCTGGTTATAAGCATAGCATTGTAATAATGTCTCCACCACCCCCAGTTCAAGCAAGACATTCAAAAGACCCTCAGCTTCAAAGCATTAGTCAAAGTGTACAGTTTAATAAATAGTAGGTCAAGGTCACCTCATTCACCGAGCACCACTTCTAGGACCTGTCTCATTGGCTCCCACGACTCATCTCCCTCTGCGGAGACACACAGCAGTTCCGTTTCCATCATGAGATGACCTCAGTGACGTCTAAGGAACTTGTGGCGATCTGGGACTAACGTAGGGCGACTGGGAAACGCTGGGCGGCCCCGAGGCCACACTAGGTCCGTGGCTCAGAGCCAAGAGGAAAGGAGCCTGAGTCAGGCTGACCCTGACTCAGGAGCTTCACGACGAGAAGCCTGAGCACCAGCAGGGCCAACAATCTCCGCGGTCTTGAAACTGAATCTCACCGCGATATACTCAGAACCATTCAATAAACACTAAAGAAATACTCGTGTTTTTATTTTTTTAATTGAAATGAAAATGATGAGCCAGAATGCAGTAATTAAGGTATCTGCATATAGTTCTCATAGAAATATAAAATGGTATAACTTTTTTGAAAAGTAATTTTGGGAATACATATATCAAGGACTATAGTATAATTTGGGGGATCCCACAATATATTTTTGGATCCCAAAATTTTATGTTTAGACATTTATCCCAAAAATATTTTTAAAATAGTTACAAGCACTATACACAAAATTGATCCTCAGAGTATTATCCATCAGGGTATCCAATCTTTTGGTGTCTCTCCGCCACACTGGAAAAAGAAGAGTTGTCTTGGGCCATGCATTAAATACTCAAACGCTAACAAAAACTGATGAGCAAAAGAAAAGGTTTGAAGTAAATTGACGATTTTGTGTTGGGCTGCATTCATAGCCATCCTGGGCTGTATGCGGCTTGCGGGCCGTTGGACACCTCTGCAACCTGGAAACAACTTAAGTGTCCAAAAATGGGAGAACAGCTAAATAACTTAAGAATTAAACAGTGTTAAGAACCATTATAAACCATGTTAAAACTTTAGACAAGAATGTAGGAGTAGAAGGTCTCTCCCTACTTGACCAGCATGTAAATTGGCACAACCTATGTACAGCAATCCGGTAACTCATTTCTTCATTCGACAAATACTTACTGACCACCTGACACCACTCTAGGTACTTGGACCATCTACCATAATTAAACTGCACATATCACTTGACCTAGCAATTCCACTTCTAGGAATTAACCCTTCACATATGCTCCCAAAGACGGGAAATGACATAATTTTAGGTTATCTTTTGCAGTGTGTTTGTAAGAGCAAAACCTTGTATATTACCTAACTATCCATCAACACAGCCCAAAAAAATATATCATGACACATTCATAAAATGGAATACTTTTCAGCATACAAAAAGAAATAGAAGTTCTTTATATGTTGATGTAAAATAGTCTCCAAGATATGTTTTTGAGTTAAATAAGGTAAGGCAGCAATCAGTATAAAATACCACAGTTTAAAGAGGGTTCACATTCATTTGTTTTGTGTAGAGCATCTCTGGAAAGATACACAGAAACTGTTAACACTGGTTGTCTCCAAACCAATGTTTTCTGTAAATTATATTATTTTTAAATATATATGTGAAAAAATTACAAAGGACTAAAGTACATGAAAAAGTATTATTATACAATGTCACATAGAAAAAAATAAAATCATATATGCATATATATGTGGGTATATGTATGCAAGTATGTAGTTACCTATATACATACTTAAATATATATGTAAAATTTTTTTAAATATTCATTTCAATGTATTCTAAACATAAAATATGTTTAAAAACACACAGCTGTTATAGGTTACTTTTACTCTTTCTAATCTTTCTACAATGGATAAATACCACTTCTGTAATCAGAAGAGTTATGAAAAATAAAATACAGTTTGAGAATACTGGCTGACCTAATAAATGACAATTAGAAACAACTGATATCATACCGGAATAATGGAACTGTAAAGAACCCAGAAAATGAATCACAAGGGCCTGCTGTGCTGGGTCATAAGAGGCCTCTTAACAGGGAAATAACAGATGTGATGTTTTCCTAAGAAAGATTTTCAAGACTGTCACAAAAACCCAGTGTTACATATTTTCTAGATTTTCATACAACATTTACGAGAAAATATGGTAACACTGGAAAAGAAAAAGCAAGTAACACCATAAAATCCAAAACAGCAGTATTCCATACATGTCCATGTAGAATTTAGGGCCACATACTCAAACAAATGCCATCGTGAATAATGGAAAAGTTGATTCTGCATGACATTTTGTTTATTCACATGTAATACAGGTCAAATTCTATTAAAATAAACTTAAGGAGACACTCCATATACTGACTATACCAGAGTCTCACTAACAGCATCAAGAATGGCTTAAAATCAGGGACTCTGACTGAGGTGTAGAAGTATTTTCATTACCTACCAATGTCCCTTCTAACCCTTCTATGCCCTTTATTTGATTTCTGAGGGTCAGCCTCAGAGCTCTGGGATGGAAAGAAACAAGCAGCAAGAGCCTCAAGTTTGGGATTTGCTATATTTACTTCTGAGCAAATGGTATTTAAAAAATAATCTGCATAGGAAAATAAGGAAAAACCTGCATGTTCTGCTCTCCTCACGGCCCTGTTCAAGCCCTGAGCCTCCTGCCCACATGTTTCTGTCCAGCGCCGAGCACGGCACGTTACGGTCGGGGACATGTGATAGGTTATTGGTTTAAATGAACTGGTCCTGCCACGGTCTAAGTGGCAAATCCTCTGAAGCTGCAGGTTTGAAGTTAGTTATATATGAAATACACGACTACTTCAAACGTGACCGTATTATACTTCAGTATGAAAAAACTTCAGAAACCATTCCAACAGGTATTTCAAAAACTAGAAATCAACAGTTATAAAAATGAAGATTTAGCATTAAATCTTTTTAGCATGAAGTATTAACACAGAGCTCTTTATAATTTTAATAAACAGATTTTAGAATACACGTCATTGTATCTGTGTATGAGTAATACTGCCTGAAATGTTCAACATGAATCAAACTTGAATGGGGCTACTGTAAATGCTTTCAAATAAATTCAAGTAAATAATAACTCACCATCTCCTATGTGCAAAAAACACACTATTCTAAGACCTAACTGAATACAAAAATAGCTGTCCCTGCTGAAATTAAGTTAAGATTATTGACTAGAAAACAACTAACAACAAGATTGAGACCTTCTAACTTACATTTCTTTGGTTGCCCAGGAAATTAGCAGGGCTTAGAGATGGTTTAACATTACATGAGGATGCAATCAATCTAGGGCATCTTAAGTTAAATGGATCTTGAAAATGAATTAATGTTGTATTAGTTTCAAAAGGACCTTTTATGGAGGAAATGGCTTTGATGGCTACTTAGATACCATGAGAATGCACAGGGATCAAGGCATTTCATCATTAGGTCCAAATTAGCTGGATGACTTGGAAGGTTTCTTAGAGGCTTACAGAAGAATTTGGTCCTTAGAGAAATGCTGATCGCTGTGACATTCCTTCTTCAACTCCTGCATCCCACGAAATTGGCTGCTTTACAGAATCGCATTAAGCAAGGAGCTAGGCGAGAATCAAGTCTCTTGCCAGGTTTCCCATGGCATAAATAACAGCTGTCGCCATTAAGCAACCATCAGGGGACGCAGTTAGAGCATCGTCCAAGGTAGAGGACTTGGGTAAGGCAGCTGCTTCCTGGAGAGCCCTAGCCAAGGCCAGTGGGAAGCCCCCCAAGGAAGGTCAGACCAGCACCTGGGAGAGCGAGTACCTTTCTGGACCCCTGTGTCCTGCACTGGAGGACCCGTAGAACTCGTGTTGACCGAAGAAAAGCCTGTGCCCCCTAAGCACTAATCCTAGTCTTTTCGTGTCGATATAATTCACAAAAACTGGAATTTGACAAATTTAGGAAATCCCGTCCCTGTCAGCTATTTGCGGAAGACCAGCAATCAGTGAGAGTGTTTAGCATTCTTGAGACACAATTTATACCACTCCGCTAACTACAGAGTACATAAATTTAGGAAAAATGGTTTTTTCCATGTTGCTACTAGAATGATCAGAAAGAGGTAAGGAAATTTGATCTTCATTCAAATCACACTTAAGAGAAAGAAACCTTAAGTAAAGGCAAGCTATTAAGCAAACAGAATTTTAAGTTTTAAAGTCATTTCAAAAAAAAAAATCCTTCTTACATAGTAAGACTTCCCTGTCTACATAAAACTAAGCATCTTAGAATGACAACTTTTTAAAACTCTATGTAATTTCTTGAAAAGCAAATGGTTATTTCTCCTATGTTTTTCTTCCATTATAGGTCAAAAGGGAATCATAAATTCTACCGATTCCTATCTTGGGTCTGAATTTCTCTAATTCCAAGGAATCCCATGTTCAGTGACACCTGGATCAGCAAATAACATTATCTGTACATCTTCATGATAGAGTATGACTTTGTATGAAAAAATACCAATATTTCCTTAACCCGAACCCTCTACTAACATCTACAAACATTTAATAGACACACTAGCAAAGGATATACTTTTTTAAAAAATACAAATTAGTTAAAAATCATTACAAGTGTCACTTGAGCAGCATCAGCCCTGGGAACAAAAAATGACCTACAAAGTTATGGAAACCCAAATAAACATGAAGAGCCTAAAGTGCCACAGCAGGGGAGACCTGAAGGAGGCGCTTCACTGCAGTGGCCCGAATATAAACACACCAATTAATAGCCACATCCTCAGGGTCCATGCTGCTCAACCATCAAGTTTCTAGACTCTGCCGGTACAAAGCACAAGTCTTACTATGCCGAAGTCCTGCTTACCGTCTGTTCCCGTGAAGCCTTCAGGCTACAGCAACATACAAATTTACAAAAGGATTCTGAAATTTCAAAATATAAAGTACCAATTCAGTTTTCCTCCCTGCTTTTCATGTGCCCCATAGGTGACAGTACCTCTGTTTTCAATGAGAGTCCACTGTTAAAGAATATTGTTGCCACAGCGATGTAGGAGACAGTTATTTCTGGCTTCAGTGGTCCTAAAGAGAAAGAAATTAGTCACTGTTAGATAAGCATTTCCAGTCTTCCAGTGTGAAAGGCAAGTCCATTGGAGGAGGACAAATGGTACTTGAGACCTTAGTGTTGACCCTGGGGAACACTGCTGTCCTGACAGAGTTAAGCATTTGCTGTGACGCGTCTAATTCCAGAGAGGAGTTTCCAGAAGGCAAGGACCATGGCTGTCCAGTCCAGCACAGTATCCTTCCACCAGAAGAATAAAAATAAACTCAAAAAGAAACTCTGCTGCACACAGGAGAAAAGAGAGTCACCATCCTTCAATACAGGCCCTAATGGCATCTACCACAGTGTCAACGCTTGCATAACAATTAAATTCCCCACACGAAAGGAGACAACCATGAAAGCAGTCACGTTCTCTTTAGCAAATATTTTATTTCTTCTAGGATATCAGAAAGAAAAGCTTGTATTCACATATAAATTCAATTCTGCCTAAGAGTTTTCAACCCACGAATATTTATTGGGCGCTTCGGTGTGATTTGAGATAATGCGGAGAGAGCAATGGAGTACCGAACAATATGTGGTTAAGACTGCAATTATTATGAAACTGCGCCTGGCCCTGGGCATGCTGTGGAGAGCGAGACCGGCCGGATCTTTGTCCTCCGGGAAATTCCTCTCTGAAGCCGGGCTGGCATCACCCCCTGGTACATTAATATCGTGAGTACAACAGAGGCAACCTTAATCTTTAGTCATTTTTGTGGCTTGTACACCACTGGCTTAAAGACCTACGGTGCTAACCAGTGGACAATATTCTTCTAAAAGACACAGTCTGAGAAAATACCATTTTATACCTGTATACAAGTGATTCTCTGGCAGGGGCAATGATGGCCCCTACCGACATTTGGCAACATTCAGAAATTTCTTGGCTGATTGAGCTCAGGGACTAGGAGGGGCGACCGCATCTAGGGGACAGCGACCAGGAATTCTGCTAGACATCATGGGAAGCACAGGGTAGCCCTCCCAACAACGGCAGTGCCAAGGTGGAGAAACCCTGGCAGGTACCAACGAACAGTTTAAAATCTGAGATCACCTCGCACCTGACGTTCCATTCAGCCCTCTCGAGCTAGGTTGAGTAGCGTTCCCTCCAAAATTTGCGTCCACACAGAACCTGTGAATGTGACCTTATTTGGAAATAGAGTCTTTGCAGATGTACTGTATTTTGCTGTGTATAATGCGTACTTTTTTTGCCCAAATTTTTGAGGGGAAAATAAGGATGCACATCATACCTGGGTACAATGATTACATACCATGAATACATGGGTATAATAATGAATCCCGTGTATAATGCACACAAGATGTGAGTGTGCATTATACCCAGCAAAATATGGGTGATCACATTAAGATGAGGTCTTATCTGATTACGGTGGGCCCTAACCCAATGACTGGTATTCTTAAAAAAAGAAGGCAACTTGGGCTCTATCACACACAGAGAGAGGATGGCCATGTGAAGGCAGGCAGAGCCTAGAGCCATATTACAGGGCACGCGGAGAGGTGGCGGCCCCCCCACAAGCTAGAATAACTAAAGAACAGGTCTTCTCTAGAGCCTGCAGGGGGAGCATGGTCCTGCTGGCGTCCTGATCAGACGTTTGCCTCCAGACCGTGAGTAAATAAATTTCTGTTGTTTTAAGCCGCCCAATCTGTGGTAATTAGTTGTGGCAGTCCCCCAAAAAAACTAACACACGGTTAAGCAAAACATCAGCCCCAAAGTCACAGCTCCCCCGTTCCCTGACTCTCCTCCATACCTGCAGAGACTGCGGCTGAGGTCCACGCTCAGGAATAACCGCCACTCGCGCAGTCGACAAACACTTACTGAGCAGCCATGATATTTTAGGCATTTGTAGTACATCAGTGAATAACGGACAACAAAGATTTCCTTAAACATTCTATGAATTCCTTTCTGTACCTGGCATTTACAGATCGCTTCGCTGAGATTTGAGAGAAGGGAGCGAAAGGGAGAAAGCAAGCGCAAACAGCGTTTACATACCAGGGCAGGAAAGGCTGCTCACAAACTTAAAACTTAAAAGGAGGCATGTTATTGTTATACCTGCGCGTGAACCTGTCTCAGCAGCTCACACTTAGAAATAATATCTCCTCAACAACTGAAGAAGGTGATTCAGAAGCAGATTTTAAAGTCAAGGAGTCTGGCTTGTTTTGAAAATAGGTGCCTCCCAGGAATTTTAAATACTGTTTCTAAAAACCCATAACATTTTTATTTTCCTCCAATCTCCTGGGTTTTTTTTTTTTAATCAGACCTTACTCTTGTTCTGCCCACAGTGATTCCTCCAGAAGTTCCGTATAGGATGGGTCAGAGTGAGCAATGTGGTCAGAAGTGAAAACTAGGGGACCTGTCCAAAGACGCATGTCCATAGTGAGCATGCAGCATTTGCTCAGATTCTATGTTTCCCTGGGGCAGCTAAAGCATCTACCTTAGTTGGCGAACAACTGAATGTTTCAAGAACTCTTCCCACAGTTCACATATACACACAAAAATGCACATTAATAACTATTAGCTAATTGGCATAATTCAGTGGAATGATTTGCACTCCACTGTGAAAGTCATAGTCAACTGTGAAAAGTCAAAACATTGACTTTCAATGTTTTAAATCCTAGGGACAGGTTATATTGTTTCTCTAATTAGATGCATTTCTAAATTACTCTAAGACAGAACATGGTGAAGGTATTCTAGGGCTACCTACCAGATACCTTTTGAAAGGGAAGGAGGAAATCCTTCTGATTTGGAGAAACCTGAGGCCACCGAGGATGCCTGAGGATGCAGACAGCTCGACTTTTGAAAGCGAAACCACCAGTCGCCTCAGGCTGCAGTAAAAACTTAGTAAATATTTGCGCAGAGGTGAGAGATGAAACTACTATTTAGAAATGATACCTGGTCTACTCTAAGGTAATGATTATATCCTCCAGTTCACCAAAATAACCAGATCCAGATCTGAAAATGGCTATAAAGCTAAAGTAGAAATATGTTTTAACTTTTCCTCCAACCAAAAGCAAAAAGTATTTTATCAATGAAACAGAAATGAGGTAGCAAAATCAAAAGAAAAACTGGCCATAAAAAAAATGAAGCAATTTTTTGGGCTCCAGAACTCGTGTTTTTTAATGGGCGGGGGAGGGGGAGGGGGAATTAAAGGAAATTATTTGAAATGCTTAAGAGTGCAATGAACTATTATTATTTCATAAAATCTGCTCATCACCAAGGTAAATTTCACTCCTAAACCTAATCTCACATATTCATGCCAATATACTTAAGCTTATAGCATGTTCTGGTTATTTTTTTTCCCCAATAGAAAAATGAATCAGTTTCTTCTTTAAGGCTTATGTATTATTAATGGCCCTAACAATTTAAGTTAAGAAGCAGGTGGATATGAGAAAGTTACTCTACTTCCAAAGAAGTAAAGCTTTCCCTTACCAAGAATAACAGCACAGTGTTGAAACTAGTAAACTCTAAGGTGTGCATAGCTCAGGGCTTCTCTGGGTCTCAATGGAAGAGATTAATGACACCTCAGAACGTGTGTGCATTTACGTCTACTCTGGCTCTTTATCTTCAGCCTTCTTCTGTTTATTTAAAAGTGAAATGTAAGTGAGTAAAAAGAAAAGTGAACTAAGCATTAAATTATCTAGGCTAGGACCTAGATAATATTATAATAATATTAAACTCTTTCCCATTTGGAAGGTCATTCAACTTCTCTAATCTAAGAGTTCCCTCATCTATAAATTTCCTGCCATATACAACTCACCAACTGGTTATGAAGATTTTTTTTAAAGGGAGGTCAGATCATAGTTGTAATACTTTAAGTGTAGAAGTCTTACATTTAAAAATATTAGGTGTACCTGGCTGGCTCAGTAGACTGAGTGCCGGCCTGCAAACCGAAGGGTCAGTTCCCAGTCAGGACACATGCCTGGGTTGCGGGTTAGGTCCCCAGTATGGGGTGCACGAGAGGCAACCACACACTGATGTTTCTCTCCCTTTCTTTCCCCCTCCTTCCCCCTCTCTCTAAAATTAAATAAATAAAATCCTTAAAAAAATTAAAGGGTAAATCTGTAAAAGATAAAAATAAAAAATTAAGAAAAAAAGAGTATAGTCATGAAGGTTCTGATTCAGGTAAAGGTGAATTGAGTATCTTATTAACAAGCTAAAGACTACCAAAACTTTCTCTATTTAAAGAATGTCTGAAAATTGTTCTACTGAAATGTAATAACTCTACCCCACGAAAGGACGTGGTGAAGGTATTACAGGGCTAACTACAAGATACCATGCATTAAAAATCACAACCCCAATGTACAGAACTCATAAATGGAAACTTTGACTAAAAGTGAGAGCAAACAAAAAGGTGCTTTAGACCGTTTTAAAGAGCCGAATGGGACAGAAACATTTTCAGCAACCATTCCTTTCCTTGTACCTAGATTTTTGTTGGGATTAACTAGTAGAGTGAGTGTTGCTTGGCAATTTTTGGAGGTTTGTTTTTATTTAAGAGGTTTTAAGATCAAGTAAAAGTTCAACAGAAGTACCAAGAACTTAGCCTGACAGTCTATATAAGAAATTGCAAAGAATTTCTTGCTTACCTTTCGTTCTTAAACATGGGACAGCTAGCAATCAAAGAAATCATGTAAGTGGACTGTTGCCTAACATTAGCGGTCTCTGCTCCGCTCCTTCAGGCTAAAAATCAGGGCACAGAAAATGTCTATTACAGAGAGCCCTTCTTGATAATAGTTATTCATTTTTAATGATTTCTCACCAACTAAGGGTGGATGGATTTTGCAACCGCTATGAAATAAGGGGCAGTCCTGGCCTCCAGTCCTCTCTCCCCCCTAACTTCCCGCGCTAACTGAACCCAGGGTCAGTCACCTGACCTCAGGTCTGAGTGCCTTCAGCTGTAAGAGAAGACTGTCAGCTGAAAATACTTTTTAAAAATCATTTTTGGCCCTTAACATTCTACTCCTATAAAAATTAAACAAAGAAATCAATTGTCCTAGATTGATAGCATCCAGACTAGTGAAAATGGGAAACGACATTTTTAAGGTACAATAATACACCAAAGCTTCAAGAAGCAGAGTCGGAGGGAAAAAATAAGATTACAGAATCCGTCTCATACATGCCACTGGAAGCCCTAGGGAAATGATTCAGCATTCAACAACCCTTCTTCCCACGGAGCACCCCGGAAATGTAATGTAAAAGGTATTTTACCAAACCTAGGCCCTGCAGACCTCAAAGATTGCATATCACCCGTAACTTCACCTTAACACCGAGCAAATAAAAGATCTAACACCAGAAGTTATAAAGTGTACTACGGAAGCTAGTAAAGTGTGCATTCCACCTCACCGCAAAGACACTGTAACTTTAATTTTCACTATCCAGCTAGCCGCAGGGGCAGGGGGTACTCATTTGACAGAACCTGAAATACCAACATTCACAAGTTTCCCAAAAGCTCACAGAGAAGCTCCGTCAAAGAAGAAACAGGTGCCTCCGGGGATAGAAACCGCCACAAATAACAGCTTTATTCTCAGTTCTGTGCCCTACACAATAGGGACTAAGCTGAATAAACAAAAATAAAATAATAAAATAAACAAAAACGGTGTAGTTCCCACAATCTTTGTTCAAGTAATTCCTTTTAAATGTTTCCTGAAGCAACACTTCAATGGAGGTATTGAAGGGAGAGGGTAGTGGGACCACTGCCCTCCTGAGAGATCATTGCATTCACTCCCGTCATATTTTAACAACAAGACACACATAACTTCAAATATCCTCCACTGCGCTTCCTAACATAAAAAGATCGCCTGTGCTCACTTCTCTCCTTTATCTGTCCCTGTTGTACGGTTGATGTATTAAACCTGTCAATAAGTGTGGAAACTGACAAACAAGGTGGAAAAGGACAATAAATTAAAGAAACTCAATTAATGTTTCTACAAAGTAGGACATGCTTGTCTGGGGGCGGGGGGTCCATAAAAGGCTAATGACGTTTCCAGGCACGTCCACCAATGCCCATCCCCACATTACAAGGCTCCCACTACTCAGGCTGTGAGTATGATTTTAGTCCGCCTACATTTCCTTGCCAAAATACACACTGCACAGTGTCTAACACAGCCTGCATCTGCTGGACTACTGCGAAGTGTAGCAACTGAGTCCCGGCAGCACACGGAAGTAGTGTCCTGTAATGAAAATGTGCAACGTGTCAGTCAGCGTGGGAGTTTCTGGAGCAGTAGCTACCGCTGCAAATCGTCACTCTCCAACATGGGAGTCACAGAATCTGAGCTGGAGGAGGAAGGGGTATCCCTTGTTCTTTTTCTTACCCAACTTTGTCTTAAACGCGGGGTGCAAGAGGGGTGGAAATGGACAAGGTAATGGTGTCCACTCCAAGATGGATAAGGAACTCCTGGAAACCTAGCATCCCGTGGGATGGGATGCTACTTTCAAGGGAAGAGAAATCAAGTTTCATTTCATTCTCAGTGACCTCACTCCTTGACACTAAGGATCCTCACTGGCTGTTGGCGGAAAAGGTAACCTGCTTTCAAAGTCGCTCGCCCCGTTCCTAATTATGAATCCCGCTCTGGAGTTGGCAAATTAAAACGTCAGCGAAAGGGCCAAAGGACACCCTAGGCTGGTCAGTGTCCCCGAGAGAGGCAGACACTTCCCACACACCATCTCCCCTCCTTTTCAAGACTCACAAATTACTTCTCAAGTGAGAATCGGGGTGGAGCGTGCGGAGGTGCAGACTTACCCCCATTCACCCCTATGGACGGCTCCAGCTTAGCTCCGGCGATCGCCAGCACTATTCCAATCATGAACCATTCTTTCCTCATTCTCTCCAGCAGCCTCATGTTTGTTAGGGTGGGTGGGTTTTGTTTGTTTGTTTGGCTTTTTTTCTTTTTAAGCTGCGATCGCTTAATCCCCGGGGCGTCTCCACACTTTCCACGGTCCCTCTTGACATGCAGCAGAGCAAGTCAAATTGCTACTTGTAAAGGAAAGACCAGGGGATTGCTCCGGAGGCTTCTAGGAGGGCTGGGAGTAGTAGTAGTATCCAGTGACAGGAAAGCCTCACTGAGCGCCGCCATCACTACCGTGCGCCTCCTAATAGACACGCACATAATTAAAGCCACTCGGGCTGCCGCTCCCAAGCGCGACTGCTCTGAAGCGGACAATTAATTGGGCCAGGCTGACCGGCGCCGGACAAAAGGAGGCTGGCCGCTGGGTGGGGTTGACAGTCTCGCCTCTTCCAAGACCTGCGGAACCTTAGGAATGGCTGTTGCGGGGAGAGAAGTGAAGCTCCGTAGTGGTCTAGCCTTATTAAAGGTCCCCCTCCGACAAGCCTTTAAGCAAAGCCGTCCGCGCCCCTGGACGTCACTAACGGAGAGGTTCTCTTTTGCGTCGCCACGAGACTGCGAGAAGGGAGAACCATTAGCTTGGTCGGAAATTTCTCTGCCGGCAGCCGCAGCGGGGTGCCGGGGATTTTTTTTTTCCGTGGGCGCGTTTCTTCGTAGCATTACGACGCTTCCCCGACGCTGGTGGTGACGTGTGCGCAGGGGGGAAGGGGAGGCCCCTCTCAGTCGCTTAGTTCCCGACCAGAGCCGCCGGAGTTAGGCGTGCTCCCAAAGGTGCACAGAAAAGCGGTTCCCTCGTTGGGGGTCAGGGCGGGAGGGCGTGGCCCCAGGATGGGTTGAAAATTGGACGCCGATCCGACTTTCAAGTCCGCAGGACCCCTGCCTTCCAGCGTCCCCTGCAATCCGCCAAGGCGGTCGCCTGCCGGGGGCGCTCTGCCTGGAGCCCCCTTGCCTACACCTGCTGGGATTGAGGAGGATTGCAGGGGTGGGAACCAGCTCTTCTCCTGGGGCAGCAGGGCAACTGAAGAAAAGGGTCAGGGGCCCCAAGGCAAAAGTGGTGAGGGGCTGGCTGAATAGAGGGGGGTCCCCTGCCTTCCATTGCCCCACGTGGTAAAGTCCGCCAGTTTCTCCCTTCAGGTGTTTTCCGGCAACCAAGAGACATTTTTGTTTTCATAAAGGGACTTCCTACCCATAGAACCTGCAGGATCATCAATGCCTCCCCATTATTCATCCAAATAAATAGAACATTGTGTGACATTTTGAAAGTAGTATAGTCTGTAAAAATAGTTCAGTGGTTAACTATGGATGGAACTTAAGGTTTGGAAGGGACTTCAGGGATCGTTCAGTAATGCCAGACTTTAGTTCTGAATGTTTTCAAAGATTGGATGAGATCATCCTGTATTTTCCTCTCTTTAATTTAGCATTATCTTGATGACATGACTTGTGCAGAAACTAAGCCTGCTTATGCGTTGTGTTACCAGTTGGAGATCACACAGTTCGCAGCGTCCTCTAATTGTACATCAGGTGGAATAACAAAAAGAGAATCTCAAGATAAAAAGAGCTTAATAGGGAAACTCAGACATCAAACAACTTAAAAAAAGAAAGCACATAAGGTGTGATAAAATCTGTTGTTAATTACGGGGCAGTCTCAAGATAAGTGGAGATACATGAAAAGATAGTTTACAACACAATTACCTTCTTAGAGTAATTTTGTACTAGGTTAAAGAGTCATAAATCTCAGTGATTGAAGGTATGCCCTTGTACTAAAAGATCATTAAACATTATGCATACAGAAATTGAGCCAGTTTAACTTTATGACTATTCACAAATTCTTATTTGCCAAGAACTCTTTGATCTGTTTAGAGCAGAATCTAACTCATGGACAAGCTCTTCTATTTGTTTGTTTGGTTTTTAATGGTACTTAAAGAAAAGCAATACAGTGCACTGTGGTTATGGTAAGGCTTGTAGTACTTTTCCATGACTGCTGTAATGAATACCGTTAACCTTAACATAGCGGAAATTTATTCTGTCAGAGTTCTGAAAGCCAGAAGTCCAAAATCAAAGTGTCGGCAAAGCCACACTTCCTCTGGAGACTCTAGGGAGAGAATCCTTTCTTGCTTCTTCCAGATTCTTGTGGTTCTTCTTCCACATAACTTGACATTTCCTTTGCTTACGATCACATCACTCCAATCTCTGCTTCTGTCTTCATATTGCCTCCTCTTCTGTCTGTGTCTTCTCCTTTTCTCTGTGTTTCTCATAAAGGCATTTGTCATTGGATTTAGGGCCCACCCAGGTAATCCAGAAGTATTTCCTTTTAAAAGATTCTTAATTTATCTGCAAATATCCTTCTTTGAAATGAGGTAACTGTGCTGTATTGACTATAGTTCCCCAAATATTTATGTCTGCCTGGAACTTCAGAATATGACCTTGATTGGAAATCAAGTCATGCAGATGTAATTAGTTAAGATGAAGTCATACTGGATTAAGATGGGACCTAAATCCAATGATTGGTATCCCTAAAAGAAGGTCATGTGAAGATTCACAAGAGACAAAAGAGGAGAAAGTCATGTGAAGCTGGAAGCAGAGATTGGAGTGATGTGCCTACAATCCCAAGTACACCAAGGATTCAACTTGGAAACAACCATCAGGAGCTGGGAGAGAGACATGGAACAGGTTCTCCCTCAGGGCCTCCAAAAGGAGCCAACCCTGCCGGCATCTTGATTTCAGAATTTTGGGATAATAAAGTTCTGTTGTTTTAAGCCATCCAGTTTACGGTACTTTGAAAAGGTAACCCTAGGAAATTAACACAATACCATTCACAGATTCCAGAGATTTGACGTGGACCTATTATTGCTGGTGTGGCTACCATGCAACCTACTACAAGGCCCTTCCTGCCTCCTGCTTTTTCCATTGCTCTCTTTCTTTAATAATTCCATCACTCCTCTCTCACTTTTCCCTGTCCTTTTGTCCTTTCCCTTGCCTCTTCACCTCAGATTTCCCCTTTGCTGCCCCTGCCACTGCACCCCACATCATCCCAAACAAGCTGGATAAAACATATTTCTTTAAAAGACGCAGGATACACATTCTTTATTTAATAGATACTGTATCAGTTTATTGAACAAACATTTAATGTGCCTCCACTGTGTGCCAGTCACGTCTCAGTGCTTCTCATTCAGTTGTGGACGAAGACACAAAACCTTGCCCACGGGAGCTTATAATCTTGTAGAGGAGACAGATATAAACAAGTATGTGGTTACAAACTGAAATAGGAAAAGAACAGGGTGTTGCAAATAATCTAGATTCTGGATGGTGTCCCTAAGATGTAAAGGATGATGGGCAGGTGGGAGAAAGTTATTGCTCAGTAAGGAAATGCTTGACAGCATGGAATTCAAAGACCAGGATAGCTAGACTAGTCAGTGAAGGGACTAGGATGTGGGAAGGAGGGAGGGTTACCAGGGAGCAGATTGTGTGTGACTTTCCATGTTGTGGTAAAGGATTTAGAGGACTGCAGATGCCAATGGAGGATTTTAAACCAACTAGTGATGACACATCTTGTTTTTCTGGAGAGATTACTTCAGAATGACAGGGACAAGTAGTCCAGGAAGAAGTACTAAGTCAATGGAGCGGGAAAAGCAATTAGTATAAGACTGTTAAACGGGAAGAACAAAGAATAAATGAGTCATCTTTAGGGCAATGGTGAAGCAGCCTCAGAAGACTCCCAGAATCTGTTGGAGAGATGCTAGTGCCGCCTGCTCAGCCTGAGGGATCTTTACAAAGTACATTTGGGGAAGAGACAACACATTCAGTTTATACCTTGTGTTCAAGGCCTTGTTTTCATGAGGACAGAGGTGCTGGAGTTCTGGGATTCGTCAGCAATAGATGATGAAAACCATAGGCATTAACATAGCAAATATTTACTTTTAACTTGTGTTACTTACATTGCTTATTCAATCTCTTTGAATGTGGCTCATTTACTTACAATATTTATAAATGTTTACTATGTGCCAAGAACACAGTACACCTTACGATCACTTTCATGGACTTTATGGTTAGCGAAATGGTGATAAGAATTCTATCTCATCAGGCTGTTGCAAATATTTAATGGGACAGTGTATGTGCATTGCCTTGCTTGGAACAAATGCTCAGTTATTTATTTGACAAACATATATTGAGCTCCTACTTTGTGCTGGGCATTCTTATAGATACTAGGGTTGCAAGGAAAAATGAGGGGCAAGACCAACTTTCTTTGTGTAGTACAATATGGAATAAAAAGAAAAGTAACAAGCAGTAATAATTGTCACAATAAAATTAAAATAGGTCACACGATCAGGTGACAAGGAGGCTACTTTGAGCAGTTCAGGAAAGTCTTTCTAAAGGGGTGCAATCTAAACAGAAACCCCATTTGGTTCCCCATGATGAGGAAAATGTCCATGAATGCTAATATATCAGAGATGACCAGTGAGTACAACTGGTGAGCAACCTGTATAAATGCCCTAAGGTGTTTGATCCTGGCGTGTGTATTAGTTTCCTGTTGCTGCTATAACAAACTATCTCTGCTTAGTGGCTTACAACAACACAAATTATCCTCTTACAGTTCTGGGACTCAGAAGTCCAAAGTGGATCTCATTGGACTAAAAACATGTCAGCAGGTCTGCATTCCTTTCTAGGTCTTTAAGAGGGATCTATTTCCTTTCCTTTTCCTACTTCAAGGGGCTGCCTGCATGCCTTTGTTTTCTGCTCCCTCATCTTCAGAATTAGCAATAGCCCAGCAATATTTAATGTCTTCCCAGGGTGGTGACTGGACCCAGCACGCTTTGTGCTTGTGGGAAAGTCTCCCCGAGTTCGATCGGCTCTGGGATGCTGACAGGGGAGCAGCCCTGGAGTGGCAGTGAGCCCACCGCCGTCAGCATCTTCTCAGTGGCCAGTCAGGCGGCCTTCTTCTGGTAACCCCCCAGCTGTCACTGGTCATTCAGACCACAATAAGTAGTGTTTTACTCATTTTACAGAAATGAAAGTGAAGAAAGATAAAGTAAAAGTTTTCGCCATAGTTGATAAGTGGCAGAATCAAGTTTAAAACCTATGTAAGCTTGACCTCGGAACCCCAGGCAGAGGAACGTGGGCATCGTACTTAGTGAGTTCCAAGTATCCAACACCTTACGTTAAAATCCCGACTCGATTACTTAGCGCAATACACATGTGACTCTGGAAAAGTCACCTGAT